AAAAAATAAATTAGGAAATATAAGATATGTTATTTTTATTTTTAATTAAATCAACAGAGTCATTATCTTGTAAAATAAGAAAAAAATTTTGAAATATTATAAAAATATTATATTATTTAATTAAGTTATTTTATAATCGGATTTTTTTTTATAATCGGACGGTTCGGGTAGTTTGAAAGTAAAACCACAAACCAAACCAATTATATCATTATCTTGTAAAATAAGAAAAAAATTTTGAAATATTATAAAAATATTATATTATTTAATTAAGTTATTTTATAATCGGATTTTTTATTATAATCGGACGGTTCGGGTAGTTTGAAAGTAAAACCACAAACCAAACCAATTATATCAATTTTAAATTTTTATAATCCAAACCAACCCAATTTTATATCGGTTTGGTTTGGTTTTTAATCGGATTGGATCAGTTTATAAAGCGGGAAGCTTTGGATTTGTCCTTCACTTCGGTCATAAAGGAATTACTGTAGCAATCCGAGGCTCGGGACCTCGGACCTGTCCTTACACTATTCCCCCCCGAAGTCATTCACTTGTGAATGATGTTGGAGTGTATGAACAGAGAGAATACAGATGAGGCATAGGAGTAAAAGGAAGGAATAAAATCTGTAACTTAAATATAAACATAGCCGTAGCTAACAATGAAATATATAACAGTGGATCACATTGGGGGTGTCTTAAACAGAATATAACCGGAACGATCATGGCTGTGGCCGTGGTAAAAGATGATGACTGGAGTCATGGTGGCCGGAGCCGTGATAAAAGATAATGACCGGAGTCATGGTGGCCAGAACCGTGATAAAAAATGATGACCGGAGTCATGGTGGCCGGAGCCGTAATAAAATACGATGACCTGAGTCATAATGGCCGGAGCCGTAGTAAAATATGATGACCGGAGTCATAATGGCCGGAGCCGTAGTAAAATATGATGACCGGAGTCATAATGGCCGGAGCCAAGGTAGAGTATGTGACATGTGGTCACAGTAACCAGGATCGAAGTAAAACATGTGTCTTTGTGGCCGGAGCCGAAGTAAAACACTATGATAGTTTAAAAGTGTAATTGTATAAGTAAACAGAAGTGTTGAGCTAGACTTAAATATAAAAATGGGAGTCAAAATGGCCAGAGCCATAATAAAATATAATGACCGGAGTCATAATGGCCGGAGCCGAAATAAAATGTGTGATACAGGATCACTGTGGCTGAAGTCGATGTGAAATGTAATGCAACATTATTATGGCCGGAGCCGAAGTGAAACACTTGACAAAATTGAGAAAAGTAAACAAAGGTGTTGAAATGGGCGTGAGTGGGTCCGTCTGGAAAATCTGACAACGTGGTGTGACAGTTGTCCTTGGAATGACGTGTGCAATAAATGCAGCCGTAAAAAGATAACTGCAACAGTTAAACGGGCAAATTTAAAAACGAACCGTCAAGTCCAAAACGGTACCGTTTGGGATTGTCCATCGAATTCCAAACGGTGTCAACAGGAACCGTAAGATTAAACGAATCTCAGCCGTTGAGATCTAATTTTGCCCAGAAATATAAATAGGCATTTTTTCTGCAGAAAGAAGTTTACTTGCATTTCTTTTCCTGCAAAACTTCTGCGAGAAGCTTTACCGAGCGTTTCCTGTTACGTGAACTGCAGCATCAACTGGGGAATTCTAAATCAAGTCTTTCGAAACCAAAATCAGGTAATGTAGATGGAACTCTGATTTTAAGTTAATCGAAGTGTCTTTCTCCTTTCTCCCTTTCTGTGATTGATTTAGAGTCCTTTGAAGGACGTTAGGGTTAGAGATGAGAAGGGTTTTGAATGTGTAATGAAGGGGTTTTTTTTTTTTTTTTTTATAGGTCCTGACTTCATTCCTCCCCCCTACTTCGTG